AACCATGTTTAGTGGCTCCTCCTGGAGCTTAGTTTTGTTGAATGAATGGATGAGCGCCCTTCTAGACAGGCCAAGTCTTTCTCCCTGAATGCCCTCTGTTCTGCTGAGCCCTTGCTTGGGTTTGTAAGTGAAGACAATCGAAAGCCATCCTCAGAGGCTGAGACTGGGGTGAACATTTTATTTTAAATGGCTCCACGCATTTAAGAGAGAAGAATGTGGGTCCCTCAGGCAATCAAGGAATAGAAGGGAAGAGAGGAGCCAGTGGGATGGTATGAGGTGGAGACACAACATGAGTTTGGATAGCCTATGAAAATTCCCCAGTGGAGGGGAAGATCTTAAGACAGGGCTAGTAGTGTTCTCTTTGCAACCATTTGCATTGCTATTAGACGAATACAGTATTTCCCAAATTTTAATTAAAGCCAACTCTATTCATAAAAGTCTAGAGCTGTGGGTATATTAATTATTCATTTTGGAATTAAAATAAGTCTTTGAGTTTAATGGCTTTATCGACAATGTATAAAACCTAGCACACAACTGGTAAGGTCAACTAATTTGATGGAAGTAGGGACCTCAGACAGCGTGACCGTGAGACTGACTCTAAGGCAGCCCTACCACTAATGCTCACACTCACTCTCCAGAAATCCAGCGCCCTCCCCAGTTTAAGGACAGCATTTAATAAATGTGTGCTGAAGAGCTGATTTGGATTTTCACAGAGTGTGAATGGAGGTTTGGGTCCGTCTTACTTTGAGCTCAAGGGCCCGAAGACCCAATATGGAAGATGTACAGGTAAGAAACTATGTCTAGGAGCAATCATTTCCTATGACTCTGCCGTGATTAAGCGTCAAAGCCAGGTTTCAAAACTAGGTCTGTCTTAACTCCAGGTCCATGCTCTATTCGTCCCCAAAGCACTTTGTGAAAGGACCTGGATCTGTGCCCTGAGTCATTGCCTACATTTGTGCAATTCCTTTAGTCCTTAAGTGCATACTTCATCTTTACCCTATTTAAAGTATGTTTGCAGCTGTCTTGCTCTCCCAGACCCTAGTGAACACAAGGTCAAACTATTAAGTGCTTCTATGAGCCAAATTCTCCTACCTTATCTTAGCAACTTGATCTCCTTAATTTACATGTGCACCACTCCTCATTCTTATAAATTCCAAACCCCATCCTTGATTCCACATTAAGCTCCCCTACCAGATGCTAACTCATTTATCTGTCCAGCAGAAACAGAGCCGTTTGAGTAGATACCCAAAGTTTTAGGAATGATACGGAAGACTTTTTGGCAGATTCGGTTTTCCACAATGGATCTCTCAAATGTCAGATGCTGGGCACAGTAGGCGAGGTCTTCTAAAAAACCATGTAAGAATCTCAAACAAGGCCAAAACAGGGCATTTACAAATATTTTCTCCTGAAAAAAAAAATGTATTTTAAAGGTACTATAGTGGTCCTGTTCACTTGAGGTGATCATTTAAATCAAAGCAAGCAAACCTTAGTTATTTTACAAAGGATAACTCACGGTGATTAATTCTCCAAAATAAAAAGTAAGTTTCCAAAGTGGACCAAAGAGGTGTGACTTTACCAAGATTACATTACAGTGGATATTTCCATATTTACTAGTGCTCTGGGTATTAACAGGATCTCCTGGCAAGAGATTAATATCACATCAGGAACCTACCTGCGTATCAACATGGTAGCTAGACAATCATTTAGGTGCAGTCTCCTGAAAGAAGGAAATTGGCTCTTTAGGAAACAGCTGGCCTTCTGGACAGTGATTAAGTGTGAACCCAGAGGGGAGGGCGGAGGAAGACAACGTCTGCGGTGAAGACAGCTACCTTGAAAGGAGAAAGGAATGTGCTGTGCTCAGTCTTTAAAATCTTTTCCAGGGGATCCCTGGGTGGCGCAGTGGTTTGGCGCCTTCCTTTGGCCCAGGGCGGGATCCTGGAGACCCGGGATCGAATCCCACATCGGGCTGCCGGTGCATGGAGCCTGCTTCTCCCTCTGCCTATGTCTCTGCCTCTCTCTCTCTCTCTCTCTCTCTCTCTCTGTGACTATCATAATAAATAAAAAAATAAAAATAAAAAAATAAAATCTTTTCCATTATCTTTGCATTTATACTTAAAGAGCAAGGTAGAAAACAGAGGCGAGGGAAAGGAAAAAAGAAGTGTTTGGGGTTGATAACGAGGTCACACTTTGCTCGGAAACCTGAACCTTGGTCCCCACAGGGGCTAAATGAGAGGGTGGCAGGATGGATGACGGATCTGCGACCTTTAGTGGGGCAGGCTTCTCTGCCTATAAACTTTTCAGAGTCCCCAGCCTCACTGCTTCCACGATTCCCCTCCCCAGCCCTTGTCCTTCCCTTAACCTCCCACTTCTGGGAGATCAACCCTTAACCTTCTTACTCATCCCCTCCCTGGAGAGGTGGTGACCTCGCTGGTTGATACATTTGGAAAGAATAACTGGTTGTCCTCTGCTCAGCATGGTCAATCTTCTTGGGATACGCCCATCTCAAAACCACAGTGGTTGCCTTCTGCTCTCCCCACCCACACACCCATGCTGATGAGCCAGGAAGTATATGTGGGTGAGCGGTGCTACTCAGAGAGTCTCTTCCTGGGAACCAAGAGCGGGGAAAAGTGACTTCCTGTTAGTAACAGGAAACAAACTGACAGGGCAAACTGGCTTCATTCTGGACTTCCCACTAGGCTCTCACTCTAAGTTCTTCCTTCAACTATCCTTGATCAGTACACCGAGGTTTTAATTTGGTTTTCCATCCACCATGCCTTCATTTGATTTCTCTAATTGTTCATAATTCAGGAAGAGAGTAAGAAATCCTCCTCTGAAAGCCTGTGAGCAGTAGCGTTAGAGACATGAAGAAATCTGAATAGAATACATGATCTAGAATCTTGTGGACCCATGGGGTAGAGTGGAGGTCAGAGAATTTTAACTTTGGTGGCATGTGAAGGCTTATATTGGTCAAATGGGTGTTTACAGTAAAGTAGATAGCCTAGGTGACAGGTTTTGGACCAGCATGTTTGGATCTGGGGGGGTCATGGAGCTTATGGTGCTTTACTCACAAAATGTGACTTTCTATAGGGTCCCAACAGCCCTCGTTGGCCTTCGAAAAGGCTCAATGAGCCTTTAAGCAAAAGGCATGAAGACCTCAGTAGACGCGTGGGTCATCCCTCGCAGAAAGTGTCATTCCTTCAGTGACTCAGTTAATAATGAGACACACAAGATTACAACAGCATTTGCGCCACCTGTTTTGAAAGTCAGCCAATCTCCAGCCATTAGAGCAGTTATCCCAGGGAAAGTTCTATTCCCAGAACACAGTACGAAGCGTGCTCAAAGGCTGTGGTTGGCACTCAGTGGTTTCTGATATAAGGAAAGCAGATGGAGACTCCTTGTATCCATTTCCCCCCAGTGCCCGTTAATGCTCACTTTCTAAAATCTGCTAGCTGTGAGCTTAAATTCAATTGGCAGGAATATCCCCAGTAAGGCCTCCTTTGGTGGACTGCAAGAAGCCATAGAAAGTGAGTGTAATGTGGCATAAATTAAGTGAAGCAGGAGGCCTGTAGATGCCCTAACGCCAGCGGCAGGACCTCAGCCCAGCAGGCAAATTCTGGGCACCACTGCTAGTTTCCAGGGGAAGAGTACTCTTCACAGGGCTTTTAGGCATGCCTGGGAAGAATAGGTGCTGCTTTTCAGCTATTTCAAGGCAGCTAGATTCCAATGCACTAGAGTGCTAGCAAGCTTCTAGCTCTTAATCAGTAGTGCCAAGCCAGTGTCACCAGCACACCCCCCCCCCCCAAATGCTACTGTGTTCAGGACCAAGGTGGAGGGCCTAGTGTTGGATGTGCATGGCTTGTCTACAGTCGGCACTGCAGAGCTTAAGTCCACCTAAAAAAGAAACCATCCCTCAGAGGTGGCTTTCTCAGGCCTAACCATGGCCAGTGTGCCTAATTCCAGTTTACTTTTTGCAAATTCACTGGGCAAAGCAGCTATAAAGCTGTGTCCTACAACCCGGGCTCCGTCAGCAATGTGGATTTCACCTACCACCTTTTTATTTCTCAAATGGTCCAGGCCATGCTGTGGACTGCCAATAGCTCTGAGCAATTCCTCAAAGTTGTATTACAAGGCCTAATTAGAAGTTGAATGGGACCTGGGACGCCTGGGTGCCTCAGCGGTTGAGCTTCTGCCTTCAGCTCAGAGCGTGATCCTGGAGTGCTGGGATCGAGTCCCACATCAGGCTCCCTGCATGGAGTGTGCTTCTCTCTCTGCCTATGTTTCTGCCTCTCTCTCGGTGTGTCTTTCATGAATAAATCAATCAATCAATCAATCAATCTAAAAAGAAAAAAGAAAAGGTTGAATGGGACCTAGTAGAGGTGACTCAGCAGATAAATCTTTAAAAATTAAGAGTATGAGCCACCTGGGTGGCTCAGTTGGTTAAGCATCTGTCTCTAGATCTCATTTCAGGTCTTGAGCTCAGGGTCATGAGTTCAAGCCCCACATTGTGATCCATGCTGGACGTGAAGTCTACTTTTAAAAAATTAATGAATGAATGAATTAATTAAAGGATTAACAAAGACAGTACCCCCTTAAAAGCCCTAGCACTCCCTTAAAAAAGCCCCACATCTCTATCTGAAGATGGAGATTGAGTAAATCAGTAGCCAGGATAAAATCTGTGCTTCCTCAACCATTTGAGTGCTGGGAATATTTTTTTTCAGGCATAATAAACGATGGAAGAGTCTCTCATAGAAATTCAAATAAATAAATAAATAAATAAATAAATAAATAAAAAAATTAAAAAAATTAAAAAAAAAGAAATTCTGTTAGTCCACTTGATGGGATGAGGACTGAGTGTTATGCTATATGTTGGCAAATCGAACTCTAATAAAAAAATATACAAAAAAATTCCATTAGTCATACTGCTTTTGATCAAAACCCTTAAATTAGTAAATTCACATGACAAGTGAGAAAATGGAAATGGAATGTACAACTCTATTCAATTAGAGGCAATTTTAGATCATTTTATTTATCTGTCAATTTATCGCCAAGATCTAACATTTATGATTTTGCTACATTTGGATGAGCACATGAGAAAGAATGTAAATTAAATACTGTGAAAGTTGCCTTTTAATGAATCATGATCTTAACAGGAATGGATATATAAATTTAGTGGTTTTATTGCATTATTAGAAAATTATATTATGAAAGATACAAAAAATCAATAGATGTTATTATTTCTGTTTATTTCACCATCAGTATGCCAACTTTTACCATTATGGCTTTAAATTTTCAAACTGCCCAATAGATTTCAAAGAATAGTTTATTACATGCCTAATAAAACACTTAAAATATTTACAGTTTCAAAATAGGTGTTTCAAAACTGAAAAAAGTTCACCTGAGAATTATAGCATTGCCATTTGATTTTTTTTTCCCCAAGTTGTTAATGTGGTTAAGTGTCCACATGCAACCTGTATCGTCTACTGCATCAAATATATTTAACTCCTTATTTAAAAGTGGTTAAGTATTAAGCTATAGTAAATTAGGTTATAAAATTTACAGATGGAGAACCAGGATTTAATTTATAACCATGTTTGTTCTGAATGTAACAATTTAACAAATGATTATTTGCTATAGCTGTAGAATTCAAATAATGAAAGCGATTTTAAGGTATTGTTACTTTGCTGAGTTAGACATAACTGTCTTTTAAATATCATCAAGCAATTAATAAAGAACAGTGATCATGTAAATATGCCATATACAAACTGAAAACGACCTTTCCAAAATTCTGCATGAAGGAAAAGATATACACTGTATATACATTATCCTGTCATTTGTCTTCTTCGGCGGCCTTAAAAAAAAAAAAATCAAAACAAACTTTCTTAGAAAAAAACTTCCTTAGAAGTTAATGTTAAAATAGGCATAAATGTATAATGCTATGCAATATATAGAAAACTTCCCCACCTTATGGCCGAAAAACAAAGATAAAATCTTTTCTCTCTTTGTCCCTCTGTATTACAATTTGAAAATCATGTAAGTATGAGGTAGTGTAGTTACTTGTATTACATGCTGGCTATTAAAAGTAATGCTATATTTTACAAAATATTACACTTGGCCAATAATCAGAATATCATTAAAATAAACCCTTAATGCTAAACTGTTTATATGTAGAGAGAAATTTAAACCAAGTGTCTTAAAAATCATATTTAAATTCTGGAGACAACTAGGTTGTATCATAAAATATTAAGTAACCTTTCAAAGCAGTTATTTACAGTAGCAATTAAAGCAAAAGGTTATGTGACATTTGCACATACACACACTGATATGACAAACAGTTGAGTGTACACTGAGGTAGGAAATCAAGGATTCCATTGGTTTGTATAAGATTTTACATTTTGTAAACCAGAAAAGTTTTTATATTATTTTATACTTTGAAGTTAAAATCTAAAATTACAAGTATCAGAGAAACAGCTACGGGGGGGTGTGGGGGGGACAATATTATATATACACACACACATATACATAATATATATGTATGTGTGTGTGTGTGTGTGTATATATATATATACATATATATATGGTATACACACACAATTCTTTTGTAGTTATGGGATGCATTATCATAGAATTACTCTCCCTGACAAGTTCTTAAGTATACTTATAAAAAGCCTCTAGAAAATAAACAAGCCCAACAAGTTTTCTCTTACAACTAAGTCAGTAACAGAGATAACATACAACCACTGATAATATGCTAGCAATATCTCCCCCAACCACCCCACCTCCCCACTGAAAAGGGTAACATTTGATAAATAATTCTGAAATATTAAGACTGGTCCCCATATGCTGTTAGGACAAAGGTCTACTTGCTTCAGACTCGCTCCTGCAGGATGGATGCTTATCTCCCATGTTAGCTACACAGGTCCTCCACTAGACTCAGGATGCAAGCGATAAAAGTCTCTCAAGGTCTCTGATCTTGATGAAATTAAATACTTTCCAATCCAAACACGATCCACCCTTTAACACCAGGCTCTCCAAATGTTTCTGCCAAGGTGAATATAGGTAATAAAAAGTTCATAGTCTATCGGTTTATTTGATTCTCAAACAAGCCCGTAACACCAGAATAGCTAAGAACCACTGAAAAAGTTACGGGGGAGGTGCTGAGATTATAAAAGCTTTATTTTAAAACAGGACTGCATGAACACAAAGATCGATTACAAAATGCCCAAGTAAAAATGACTGGTGTGCCCTTATACACCAGATTTGGGGAAGGGAGAAAGATTAAATCTGGTTTCCAAATTCCAACCTGCAGTGGAATAAGACTGAGTTTCATCCTATTTCACAAACCTGCACAGTTGTTTGTAAATACATTTTTATCTACAATAATGCTTTTTTTTTTTACAAGTAAACCACAAGACTTCAAAAATAGGATGATATTTCCTGATAAATGTTAGCAATTTTCTTTCCCCGTGGTGGAAAGATGCCTGGTTTTCTTGCACGGCTGACCTGTGGTGGGGAGGCCAACAACCTTGGATTTTGGGAAATTCTCAAAGAGTCTGGGGAGGCTACAACAGTGCTGCCAGTGCATCCCCTCACACCACTGTATCCCAAGTCCTATTTCTTCCAAAAGGACAAGAATGTCAGGAAACAGATCATGAGGGCCCCGGATGTGGTAGAGAGACTGCAGGGAAAAAAGAAAGGAGGGAAAATGACACTTATGTACTGTTTACAGGGCCGGAATTTCTGAAGCCGACACAGGAGCAGGAGCGTCCCCCGTGGGCCAAGCACGGGCCGCTCCCTCCTACCTACCCCCAAAGAAGCTTAAGAGTCGCAGTCAGGCCAACCAGTCCCTGGTTCTAGTGGGAGAAGAGCAAAGCTCCAGGATTCAGGCAAGACAGGTCTTTCTCACACTGCGATTCTACACAAGTTTTCCCAGCTAGCTGACATCCCACTGCAAGGTAGAGCTGAGCTCTACCAGCGTCACGCAGGGAGGCATCTTCTTTTAAACCAGTGTAGTGCAAAAAGGTCAGATCCCGAGACTGTGATGGGAGACTTCTTCAGTAGGAACTCTGCAGACGCTTCAAGCCGTCAGACTGCTGTTTGATAGGCTGTTTTCATCCACAAATTTATTTTGCATACCGGGAAGAGTTATTACTAACAGTTGTTATTCTTTAAAAAATGAGCTTTTTAAAAGCCTTATGACATTTTCACATGTGGTTTGTTTTGTTTTGTTTTGTTTTCCTGGGATCCAGGAGGCATGTAACTTCTGCATCTCATGGAAATCAAGGAAAGTCAGGATTGGCTTCAGAGGAATTCCCTTAACAGAAAACTACTGGGGGCAAAAAAAAAAAAAAAAAAAAAAAAAGAACCAAAACACAATCAATAATGTCAAGAGACAGAAACTATATTATGCTTTTAAGACGTCACAACTGCAGTAGAAAATGAGTGGTGGAAAGGAAGTGAATGCAAGTTTACTCATCAGTAGTACATTTGTCGGTCATCTGCTGGCAGAAATCAGAGATGCCCACGCCCTGCCGGCAAGGTTCCACGAGGCCGGCCTGCTCGAGGGCAGTGCTGGCAACAGCCCGGGGCTCCTGGCCGGACCCACAGGCTGCTGACCCGCTGCCCTTGGCGCTGGGATGTCGAGGGCTTGGCTCGCAGGCCGGCAGTGGCCCCGCGGGAGGCCCCTCAGGTAAACTCAAAATTGACGGTAACGCAAGCTCACCATCAGGAGTACTTTTTTCTTTTTCAGAAATTAAAAATGAGAGGGGGCAATCTGAAGCCGAGTACTTGGCGAGTATCTGTATTTGTTCTTGACTGAGAGCTGCTTCTTTACAGACCTGCTGGCAAAGTCCAGTTAGGTTCTGCTTCGTCTCACCCAGAGTTGACAAAATGTGATCTCTCTCTTTCAACAAGCTCTCCTTTTCATTTTGCTGTGAGGTGAGAAAGAGAATACAATGACTTGTGTTTAGTAGCTCAATCAACATTTCTAAGGTAACCAAACATTCCTATCTACTGGGATCACCTGGAATTTTTACTTTCAACTCAACTCAAAAATCTTATTTAGTAGCTCGGAGGCCCATAATCCCTCATCCAGAACGCTGCGGCCTAAGATGTATCTTGGGATTCAGAATTTTTCAGATTTTATAAAGACAATACAGATGCACACATAATCCCTCTAGCGGGGTCTGGGCCGGTACCCGACTATCAAACATCTTCACATTTCTAAATAAAACACATTAAAATATCAAATCCCGCACGAAGTGGGAGAAAAAAGGACATAGCTCAGTGTCAGTCTGCTTCAGTTTTCTGGTCAAAACAGTTCATGACAAACTTGCGAGGTTTTTGGAGCTTTTTGGATTTGCAGATGGTAAACAAATGTCGACCTGACATTTGAAATGGAATACAACCAAAAAAAAACAAGTACACTAATCATAACTACTGCAACTCAGATCGTTGCAGGACTCTAATGATGACTAACACTTGTTGAGCATTTACTTTGTGCCAGATATTGTACTAAATGCTTTCAGATATGCAGTCTTAATTATGTCATTCACACAGTGACTATTGACTTAAGTACTAACAAACCCGTTTCATAGATGGGACCTGGAGTTCAACATGCCCAGAGTGAGAAAGCTAGTAAGTTACTAAAGTATGAAGAATCTGGGGAGAAATTTTGCATTTCTTAATTATTTTTTTAGTGGGGGGGCCCCTTCTGGGGTGGCTCAGTCAATAATGCGTCTGCCTTTGGCTCAGGTCATGATCCTGGCGTCCTGGGATGGAGCCCCACATCAGGCTCCTTGCTCAGTGGGGAGCCTGCTTCTCCCTCTTCCCCCTGTTCATGCCCTCTCTTATTATCTCTCAAATAAATAAATAAAAATTTTTGAATCTTCAAAAAAAATTATTTTTGGTAGTTATTATTACTATTTAATTTTTTAAATCCCTACAACAGGAAAGTCTACCGCAGAATGTTTTCAAAAGCTTTCCTGGTTCCTGCCTTTCTGTCCATCATCACTTGCTTGCTGCTACTGCTGTCTCTTTCCATCAATGTCTCACCTTGTCCTTCCTGTTCTACTACCACACTGCTTCTAACCAAGCATGAGCCAGGAAACCAAATAATCAAGCTATTTATAAATTAGGAATAAATAAACGTTGATAGAAGGTCAAAGGTTTGCCCTGTGAAATTTATGACAATTCTCTTGGCTTTCTGCTTGTTGGCAGGCTCTGTAGAGCAGAGGTTGCAAGCTAACATTTAGATGGTTTATTTCAGAGTGATAATCCACAAAGACAATCTTTTAAATAGATTCTTTTCTGGAACAAAAATAGTTAAGAGGGTAAAAAGAAAATTTACTTTATACAAAAGTGCTGCTACTTTTAGGAAAAAGTTTTTCTAAAAAAATTATACATGAATCCAATTATTGATAGTTTTGAAATATTTTAAGGCCATCTAATATTTTGAGAAAATGTACAGTGAGCATCAAAGTACTAAATTTAATGTTTTAAAATTTATTTTATTTATTTATTAGAGAGGGAACATGAACAGGGGCAGAGGCATTGGGAGAAAGACATGCAGGCTCCCCACTGAGCAGGGAGCCTGATGGAGCTCAATCCCAGGACTCCAGAGATCATGACCTGAGCCAAAGTCCCATAGACCTAATTTTATATTGTCAAGTATTCTCCAATTTGTTCAGATTTTCTTATAGAATTGTTCTCTTTTGAAAAGATAGGTATAAGTCAAGAAAATTTTATAGATATAAGAGTAAATAAAACCAATCAATGTTGCACAGTGTATTTTTGGTTACAAAAAGTTTGTCAGTTGTAGGCTCCTGATTAAATGGGTCCGCAGGTGCCTAGAAGGTGAGAGCAAGACCTACTACTACCTGCCCAAGAAAGAACACATTTAATGCGATCAGCACCACACCTTTTTATGTCCTCCCAGAAGCTAATCCAGAAGACAGAAACAAAACTTCCAGAAGAAAATTAGACGTATCTTTTCTGGGTCACAACAATACTCAACCACGAACTCCTCTATCAAAGTTGGGATGAGTCTCCTTTCTAAACAGCAACAAATGAAATGTCAACTGCTAATTGTTTTTTTTTTTTTTATTGGAGTTCGATTTGCCAACATACAGTATAACACCCAGCGCTCATCCCGTCAAGGACCCCTCAGTGCCCGTGGTCCTTTTAAATTAAACATGGTTAAGCAAAATGATAAATGCTTGAGCTTCCTCCCAGAAATCAGAACTGCTACTTAATCTACACATACTATAAAGATGACGAGTATTTTATGACTTCTATATCTTTAGATAAACACCAGTATGACCTTAAATATTCTCCCTCTCCTACCTCACTAAATAAAGGGTGACACAACTATTTTTTAGGTTAAAGACTACTCACTACTAGGAATAGTGATTTATGGTTCCTTATGATATAAAGCCTCTCAACAGTTCTGGGAAATATACAAGTGGCCCTTAAAAGTATGAATACAGGGATCCCTGGGTGGCGCAGTGGTTTGGCGCCTGCCTTTGACCCAGGGCGCGATCCTGGAGACCCGGGATCGAATCCCATGTCGGGCTCCCGGTGCATGGAGCCTGCTTCTCCCTCTGCCTGTGTCTCTGCCTCTCTCTCTCTCACTGTGTGCCTATCATAAATAAATAAAAAAAAAAAAAAAAAAAAAAAAGTATGAATACAAATGCTCAATTTCACTCATAAGAGAAACAGAAATAAAAGCCACCATGAGATACCAATTCTCACTATCAGACTGGGAAAAAAAACCCAAAGCAGACAACAAAATCCTTGCTGAGGCTGTGGGCAGACAGATACAGCTGGTGGGAAGGCAAAATGATACAACCTCTACTGAGCAGAAATTATTAATATCTAACGAAGTTACCTATTTATATACACTTGATCCAATAATCCTACTTCTAGGACTCTATCCTAAAGACACATCTCCTTAAACATGAAAAAGCAAAGTACAAAGTTACTCCTTGCAGTGTCCCAAATGTCCACCAATAAGAAAACAACGTGGATACTGTGCTACAGTCACACCTGAATATATGGAGCTGTAAAAGGAATGACAACCTCAGGGCAACTGGGTTGCTCAGTCGTTCGGGTGTCCAACTCTTGATTTAGGCATAGGTCATGGTCGTAGGGTCATGGGATCCAGCCCTGCAGTGGGCTCCATGCTCAGCATGGAATCTGCTTGACATTTTCTGTCTCCCTCTGCCCCTCCCCCATCACGCTCTAACTAAATAAATAAAATCTTAAAACAACAACAACAAAAAAGGAATGATAACCTTTTTGAACTAAGAAAATTATTTCCAGGAAATCACTTCCGCCCCCCACCCTCGACCGGAAATCACTTCTTAAAGTGCAAAGAGTGAAAATACAGAAAAGTACACACAGAATGTTTATGTAGCAGAAATAATAATGAGAAAAAACATAAAATATTAACCTGTTTTTAGAAAAGAAACATAAGGAAATAACTCAGAGACTAACAAAAAGTTACCCATAGGTAATAGCTATGAATAGAGAGGATGGGATCAAGACTTTGGATATAATTTTTTTAAACATAGTTTTAACTTTTAAATCATATCAATGTTTTACATATTCAACAATTACACAAAAAATGTGAAGAGTAAATCACAGTAATAAATACAAACAAACTAATTTCATCACATATCAAATTGCTGGCATGGACAAAAAAATTACTTCAAATAAATTCTAAACTTTAAACTTCAATACTATGGAATATATTTAAGGAGAAAAAAAGGCAAACAAATTTAAATTTTACTCCAACTGCTTATTGTTAATAGTAATATCGATGTAATTTTGTGACTATTATAATTATATATTTTTAACAAATAATAACTATCATAAATATATATATTTATGGTATATTTACTATTAGCTTTATACTAATACACACAAGAGAGGAATACCAGAGCAGCCTAGGTGGCTCAGCTGTTTAGCGCCACCTTCAGCCCAGGGTGTGATCCTGGAGACCCAGAATCGAGTCCCACCTCCTGCATGGAGCCTGCTTCTCCCTCTGCCTGTGTCTCTGCCTCTCTCTCTCTCTCTCTCTCTCTCTCTCTCTCTCTCTCGGTCTCTCATGAATGAATGAATGAATGAATGAATATCTTTTAAATAAATAAAGAGGAATACCAAAAAAAATAAATAAAAATAAAAGAGGAATATTAAGCATGAGTGTAAGTAGAATGAACCACAGAATTAGAAGAGTCACTATCTTGCAACATGTATTATAAAGACCACCAATATACACCATAATACAAAAAAATGTAGTAGTGGGGAACAGGATATTCCTAAAGGACCTCAGTAACACTCCACAGATTACTGAAGAGTCCCAGAGGCAAAAAATATAATCTGGAAAATGATCTACTAATTCCCATCTACTCAGGTGGACACACCGGGCATGCCCCACCACACAATGCAACAGAAAGGACACGACACCAATGCACATTTCATTTCCATTCAATAACTTAAACTTTCATGGTTTATGTGATATGGAGGAATGAACTAAAACCAAGGGGAAAAAAATCAGACATATTAAAAGTGGGGCATTTTAAAGAAATCTGGCCTGGACTCATCAAAAAGTTACTGTGATTTTTTAAAGGGGATGGAGGGGCCCCAAACCAAGAGACTAAAATGGTATAACCGAAAGTGTTCTGTGATGATTGGATCCTAATTTGGCAGACCAAAAAAAGTGTATATATAAAATATATTTTGGGAACAATGAGGGTAATTTGAATAGGGAGTAGATATAATATTGAGGATTTCTTAATTTTCTCAGGTGTGATCAAAATACTGGTAAAAATATGTAAGAATGTTTAATGTTTAGAAGATATATGCATGTTTTAGCATTTAGGGATGAAATGTCTTAATGTGGTAGCTTTTAAATGATTCAGAAAATAAA